CTGGGAACTGACATAAAGAGGCAGAAAAGAATTTACTGCTTTTGTTCTAATGTTTGTGATTTTAGTTTTACTTTTTAAAAACGTCTGTTATGAGGGTCTCCTGAGTGGCTCAGTTGGTTGAGTTTCTGACTCATAATCTTGGCTCAGGTCATGATCTCACGGTTCGTAAGTTTGAGCCTCACATCAGGCTTTTCACTAACAGTGTGGAGCCTGCTTGGAATTCTCTCCCCCCCTCTCTCTGCCCCTACCCCATTTGTTCTCTCTCTCTCTCAATAAATAAACAGGTATGTTATGATAGACCAGTAATAAAGTGTCAGTTTGTCTTTTTTTAATAATCTTTTTTTTTAAGACAGAGAGAGAGAAAGAGGAAGGAGAGAGAACAAGTGGAAGAAGGAGCAGAGGGAGTGGGGAAGAGAGAGAGAGAGAGAGAGAGAGAGAGAGAGAATCCCAAGTAAGCTCCACACTCAGCATGGAACCCAATGGAGGGCTCTATCCCACCACCCTAGATCATGACCTGAGCTAAAATCAAGAGTCAGACACTCAACCAACTAAGCCACCCAGTGCCCCTATCTTTCTATCTAATAAAATATAAATAGAATGGATTGAGTTTTGGCACAACACTGTTTCATGATCTTCATGAACTTCTGCAGTACTGAGAGAAATCTTCTTATGTGATGGTATTTAACAATAAAGATCAATATTTGAGCCTATTTGATATATTGCATAACCTTCTTACAGGAAATATGTTAGTCCAGACCCTCTGACAGGACTCTATCACATGCTTACAGAATTTTCTTCACACTCTTGATGTTTTAAAAGACATTAGTAACTAACACCACTATCAAAATAACAAACAAAAAATGAAGAAAAGAAAATAAATTTCTAGTAGTTGTGCTTTATTGAAATAAAGATTCTTAATATTCTAGACACATAGGTCTTTATCTATTGAATATTTTTTAAATGTATTCTTTTGAAGTTTCAAGCTTGAATACATTTTGAAAAATAGATATGTAGTTTTATACACATCTTTGGCTTTGCTTACCTATCAAATTTCTCCCCACATTAAATTTGATGAAAATTGTGTATAGCTTTTATATTGCTACTGCATACTCTTTCTAGATGTACTTAAATGCCAAAAATAATTTTATAATACAGAATAGCAACATTATTTGAAATAATGAAAGGAAAGGGAATTTTGAACTTGTGAAGTTATTTTTTTTATTGTTTCCTGACACCAGAAAACAAACAATGACTGATTATGCTAACAGGGCCATCATCAATCAGAATTTCTTGAATTCACTTTAATAAATGAATAAGAATACTCATATTAGGCATTATTAATACAGAAAGAACTGCTTGTAATTTTGTTTCTTTCTTAATAGGATAAATTTCTGTCTTCTCCCTTACAACCTTCTTGGTCTCATTATTTTGTAATTATTTTTGCCCTAAAATGGTAATTGTTAAAGATAAAATTCAATATATTCTTGTCTTAAAAATCACAATTTTCATATTAATAGAAGAAAATTCTTTCCAACTGAAAATAAAATAATATCTGTTTATTCTAGACACCCACTGGGTTAGGAGATAAACACAGCATTAATAAGGAACTTAAAATGGTTCAAAAGCTTGCAGAAGAGAATTTATGAATTAATGATAAATATGATAAATGCTACATTATACTTTAAATGTTGTGTTACAAAAGTGTAAATGTGGACTCATTTTTTTAACTGGTAGTACAAAATGGAATTCTGCAAGAAATAAATAATGTTGTGAAGTCGAAAACATGAGTAATCCTTTTGTAAGAAGAAATCTGTAATAAGGATAATTCCAGAATAGAACAAAAACAATTTAAAAAATGGAAACCTGAGAACATATACAATTTGCAAAATGTGAATTAATTGAATGATGAGGTTTTAACGGGTAAGGAGGCAGTTGACTTAAATAACAGGAAGAACTACCAAAAACACAAAAGTGGGGCATTTTATAGACCTGGTATACATAGGTATTTGGCCATTATTGCATCATTAAGTTATTTTGTGGTGAATTACCAAATATTTTTGGAAATAAAGTGTGCTTTAGAAATACAGCTGCCATCACCATGTAGAACGAAGGATTAGAGGATTTATACACTTACCACTTTAAGAATAGTATCTACATTGAGGTGCTAAAGACTTGTACAGGTTGGGGTGAGTAATGCTATTTGCCAAAATAAATGCACCCTCTAATCTCAGAGGCTTAACAGTAAAGTGTATTTCCTTTTCACTCAAACTTCAATATACCTAGGTCAAGAGGTAGACTTCCATATCATTATTCAAGAATTTTTGTGTGCCTATGTTCATCAAGAATATTGACTTGAGGGGCGCCTGGGTGGCTTAGTCGGTTAAGCGTCCGACTTTCGCTTAGGTCATGATCTCACGGTTCGTGGGTTCGAGCCCCGCGTCGGGCTCTGTGCTGACTGCCAGCTCAGAGCCTGGGGCCTGTTTCAGTCTGTGACTCCCTCTCTCTCTGACCCTCCCCTGTTCACGCTGTCTCTCTCTCTCTCTCCTAGAAATAAATAAAACATTAAAAAAAAAAAAAGAATATTGACTTGAAATTTTCTTTCTTGTTCTGTCCTTGTCTGACTTTGATATCAGTATGATGCAGACCTCATAAAATGAGTTTGAAAGTATTCCCTATTTTTCTAATTTTTGGAAGAGTTTGAGAAGGGTTGTCATTAAGTCTTCTTTACGTGTTTGGTAAAATTCACCAGTGAAACCATCTGGTCCCTGGATTTTCTTTCTTGTGAGATTTGGATTACTGACTCAATCTCTTTACTCATTATTGGTCTGTTAAGATTTTCTATTTCTTCATGATTTCGTCTTGGGTAGGTTGTATGTTTCCAGAAGTCCACCTTGAACTCTTTTCTCACTGGAGAAACTGTGGTCCCAGGGGGGTCCTCTGGGTGTGGAGCTGTCCTGGCCCACAGGAGAAACAATGTATTCAAAGTGAAACTGTGTTGATCCCTTTCAGTCTCTGGTCCAGGAGGTGTTTCTGCCTCCCCACTGGCTTCTGGAATTTTCACAATCTTGTTTTATCTATGGATAGCTGTTGGTTGTGCTTCTTATGAGGTAGATGGATGTTGAAAATAACCTAATGCACCATCTTGATGATGTCACTTCTCACTCTGCTTATGTTAAAATCAATACACTGCAACAAAGTTGCATGGATTTTTCTAATAATTTAAAATATTTTGATTTCATTAATTTATTTGAGAATCTGATGATAAAAGCAGAAAAGTCTCCTTACAAATTGGAGGTATCAGAAAATGCTCTTCCCCACCTATAGGGAAGAACTTTCCCCACCTATTTTGGGAATGTTAAGAAAATAGATGATTATATCTTTTTCTTTTGTTTTGTTTTTTGAGAGAGAGAAAGAGATGGAGGGAGTGGGACAGAGTGGGAGAGAGAGAAAGAGAGAGAGAGTCTTAAGTAGACTCCATGTTTGGCATGGAGCCTAATGGGGGCTTGATCCCACGTCTCTGGGATCTTGACTTGAGCCAAAATCAAAAGTTGGAAACTCAACTGACTGAGACACCCAGGTGCCACAGAAACTAGGTGATTTTAGAACCAGATAAAGGAAGGACATTTTTCAAGGAAGAAAGATTTGCTTGAAGAAAATCTTGGAAACAATCTTATTTATAGAAAGGAAAGAGAAGTAAAATTGTTAAGAAGGGATAAATCAGGACTTTTTTTTTTAGCAATTGTTTAATGTCCAATTTTATTTTTCCAACACAACTGAAACAATTTTATTAAATAAAGGTTTATTTTCTACTGTTTACACTCATGTTGCTGCTGTAAAGTACAACAACATACACAAATTCCTAGCATGAATTACACATTGCTCACCTCCACTGAACTACAGACATTGCTTGAGAATTAGATCTTTGCTCTAGGGATTAAAAAAAAAATGACAACTGGGGCATTGTATCTTGAAAGCGTATTCTCAAGTGATGGGCTGGAATTAGAAGGCATAGCCAATACAGTCAAACAGCACCGACTGCACAAGACTGCTCACTGCTGCCAAATGAAGATGAGAGGTCAAGTAGATTTAATACTAAAGATATGACTTAGGATTTGGTAATTAGTATATGATTTATTAGGACACTGTTCTTAGAAATAATATTATGGAGGGTTGATGAGGTAATAGGAGGTGAGAAAATAAAGGTCATGATGTCAATTATCAATATGATTGGTTTCCTTTCTGACTGCACAATGCTTCTCCTACTGCTACTACTATGTACCTGGGTTCATATTGCTGTCTGCCACTCTACTCCATTACATAGGGGCTGTTATAGCCTCTTTTTGTTTCTATTTGTAATCTCTCACACCCACACTGAGATACAGAGCTCCCGCCATCCACCATTGATTCACTTAATCATTCATTCTCAATATAGGTGTATAGCAGTATCAAAACTTTTAACTGGTGCTCCTTTCAGAGAGAGTTTCATCAAGTAGAACACAATGTTTATGTAGTTTCTTTTGCTTTTAGTCTTTCAGACTCCATTCATTGCTCAAGTAACTTGAGTCAGGGCTTTTCCCTCTACCTTTTCTGTGAGGTTATTTCATACATTTGTTACATTGTTTTCTCATGGTCTACAGCCCATTCTGGAATCTGGAATCACTCTAAACGTGTGTGTGTGTGTGTGTGTGTTGATGTCATACACTGTTTCACTCATTGTGATGGAAAGCTTCCATGAGTTTTAAAAATTCCATTATTGATAACCATCAGTGTGTCAGTAAAATAGACTGTATGCTAAGAGTGAGAGTTAAATAGATTAGAGATATGATTGGAAATATGAAGTTGGTTTTCACAGTTTGGAATAGCACCTATTTGAATAAGGACCTTTAAAAAACAAAAACCTGCTGAGTTGCTTCAGGGCTTATGCAAATCCATAATCATAATGGGTGTAATCACAAAGAGGGTGTGGTTTTCCGTCCTTAGCTTGTCCCTGCCTAGGAAAGAGAAAGAAGATAGGACTGCTCAACAGCTGGGCACTGCCAGGGAGGGGTCAGAAGTAGAAGAAGGTAAGGAGTGTAAATATATGTAGAGAAGTGGGGAGAAAGTCACTAATATGATTAATCATGACATCAGTCCAGGATGGCCTGGGAGGGAAATAGCCAGAAAGGTTTTATGTTCTAATAGACTAAGATAAGTTCAAGTGATTGAAGGTCAGAGATGAGAATAAACTGAGCGGTAGAGTTGAAAGTCTAAGAAACTGGTTGGATAAGGGGTAATTTCAGGAGTCAGGTATTAAGAAGGAAAAAATCATATGCTTACATAATTCTGAGAAAAATAGAACATCCTAGCCTTTGTAACAATTTGCATTTGGAGAACACAAACTTGATTTATCATTCATTTTATTTTCATTGCAACTAAACTGTTAAGCTGAAAAGCTGTAAATCAGCATCCCGAGCAGGTTCGTTAGTGGCTATGCAATTAATTAAAGCTAACTCAAATTATAAAAATTATCAGAGGTTAAAACTCATATTTAAACTCAGACACTTAATTGATGCATAGCTTATGGTCATGTATAAATCCTTCTGAGCTTAAATTTAGACAGACCCATCAGTATACCAGTCACATTGACATGATTATGTGTTTCAAATCTCAAGTCTTACGTGGTATTCCCTTCTGATTATTTTTTTTTAAAGGAGAACTTTTATTTTTTTATTTTTTTGGCATATATCATTCTCATTTATTATTAATATTATTATTATTATTTTTTACAGATAGTTTATTGTCAAGTTGGTTTCCATATAACACCCGGAAACCTTCTGATTCTTTAAATTCCCCTGAGGAGTGTTAAGAAGCTTACAAAGAGGGGCACCTCAGTGGCTCAGTCAGTTGAGCATCTGACTTTGGCTCAGGTCATGATCACACGGTTTGTGGGTTCGAGTTCTGTGCTGACTGATGGCTAGCTCAGAGCCTGGAGCCTGTTTAAGATTCTGTGTCTCCCTCTCTCTCTGCCCCTCCCCTGCTCACACTCTGTCTCTCTCTCTCTCAGAAAAAAAAAAAAAAAAAAAAAAGGTTACAAAGAAAACATACTAAATCTAAGCAAAAGGAAATAAATTAGCTAGATATTTTCTAAACTTAAGATAATTGGATTATTACTTCTTAAAGGTAAAAAAATATATGCATAACTTCTGCCTAGAATCTCAAATTGAAAAACAAAAGAAGCCACTGAAATCAAACCTCTTCTAAAACTCTTCTTTATTAAATGACCTACTGAGCTCCTTAAAAATTGTATAAAATCACTATTTGTGGCTATGGTTGCAGTTACGTATTAATGTACATGAAATACTATTTACTTATTCATATTAATTTAAGCACTTTGAATCAGTTGCTCTTCTTTTTAAAAGAATACCTTCTTTGTCTTAAAATTATACTCTGCTGACATTTATTTTTGGATGATGATAATAAAGATGAGTCGGTAATAATTAAAAATAAAACCTTCCCCATTTATGCTTATTTGATTATATGTAAAACTGAGACATTGTAGACATTAATCCATTCCAGTAGACATTACATTTTAAACAGCATTTTTATAGGGTTTACTTATCCTGTAAAGGTTTTTGTTTCGTTGTAATTCTTATTTTTGAAATAATCAAGGAGATCTGGAAATCTTGCTCTCATGGTGCAGTCTGAAGCTATTGGCAGAACTATCTTCATATACAGTTTCATAGGGTCAAAGCTTTTCCACATGATGGTTGCACAAACCACACCAAGTCTAAATATGGACTTAATTTTCTTGTATTTTCTGATTTTAGATTAATTTGCAAATACAATGATCATGCTGACTGACAGGATTACAAGTTATCATAAAGTGTTTACCAACTGCAACCCATTAGTTCTTTTTTATGCAAGTGTGTTGCAATGGTAATCGTATTAGAGCCTAAATAATTAATTCATGTTGTTGGTTTTAAGAGAGGAAGATTCTGTTTCTACTATTTTCATGGTTTAAACAAGAATGGATGCTTCTCTGTTATAAGGTATGTCACTGAACTCAAGGCATTTGGTTCTAGGCCAACATTTTCACAGAAGGGAAAACATGTTGACATAGAACATGGAACAGCTACAATGAGTAGCACAAAGAGACAAGTCAAAGGGTCATGCAATAATGTCACCTGTTGGGGTAGGCTATTTCCTGATGTTTTAGTTAAGTTCTTTAACTACCAGTATTAGTTGAAAATTCCACAGAACTTTTTCCTAATTTTATTTTACTTTATTTTTTATTTTATTTCAAGTTTTTATTTAAACTCTAGTTAGTTAACACATATGGCAAAATTGGTTTCAGGTGTGGAATTTAATGATTCGTCACTTACATAAAACATTCAGAGCTCATCAGAACAAGTTTCCCTAGTTTTAAAATGAAGGATTACAGGGATGCCTGGGTGGCTCAGTTGGTTGAGCGTCCGACTTCAGCTCAGGTCATGATCTCATGGTTGGTGGGTTCAAGCCCTGCATAGAGCTCTGTGCTGACAGCTAGCTCAGAGCCTGGAGTCTGCTTCAGATTCTGTTTCTCCCTCTTTCTCTGACCCTCACCCGCTCATGCTGTCTCTCTCTCTCTCTCTCTCTCTCTCTTTCTCTCTTTCTCTCTCTCCCTCTCTCAGAAATAAATAAAACATTAACAAAAAATAAAAAAATAAAAAAATAAAATGAAGGATTGCCTTGTAAGAAATGCTTGGTTTAAAAGACTTATAATTTGAGCAAATTTGAACAGCAAGTTCCATGAAAGAATCCCAGTCTTAGAGAATGGGATTCAAGGTTGCTGCCATCAACAAAACAGGTGTTTAGGCACATAGCAAAAGTTGTTTACAGATCTGTTATTAGAGTTGCGGACTTAGAAAGTCATTTGAATGACTAAATAGAGCTGTAAACAGATTATTTAAACCTTGAAAACTATAGATGTGGAAGAAACCAGTGGATTCAGACTACAAATTTCGGGGACCATTGATGTTTTTCATATTTGCAGATTCAATTTAGTTAGTGGCTTAATTTTGTGAAGCTAAGAAACGTTGGTCCACAAAATCAGAGCAATGATAAAATAATTGGTCAGTTAATGATTCTCTTTTATCATGTACATAGAAAATTCTAAAACAGAAAAATCATATTGTTTCCATCAGGAATTAAAACTCATTTCTTAATGGCATTCACAACAGTAAGCTTTCAACTTACTGGAATGAAAATTTCTTGAAACTAAATTTCTTGAGATTTCTTAGTGCTCAGCTCTAATATAGTCATGCAGATCAAAAGAAAACAGGATTAGTCAAAACCTGGGCTAAATGGGTTTGAACATGGAAGGCAAAGAAGGCAATGAGTTATAAGCCAGAGACTCTGTTTTATTTAAATTAGACACCCTAGAATATTTTTGAGTTCAGATCAGAGCTTCACCTGTCTTCAAACCTATTTAGCCCTTTGATTAAATCTATGTATCCACCTGTCATGCAATGAAAGTGATGGGGCACCTGGGTGGCTCAGTCAGCTGAGCATCTGACTTCAGCTCAGGTCATGATCTTGCAGTTCGTGAGTTCAAGCCCCACATCTGGCTCTGTGCTGACAGCTCAGAGCCTGGAGCCTGCTTCAGATTCTGTGTCTCCCTCTCTCTCTGCTCCTTCCCCACTCGTGCTCTGTCTCTCTCAAAAATAAAATAAAATAATAAAATATTTTTAAAAAATGATAATAAAAGAAAGTGACTGCTCAGAACACTCCTTTTCCCCTCACTTTTAAAACAAGAAAATTGAAGCCTATTGTAATATGTCATAAGATTGACATGGGAAACAAAAAAAAAAAATGCAAAATCTCATATATTTTCCACCTACTTTTTGTGTAATGCAATTTGCCAAATATTCTGGGATGTTCAAAACTGGACAAAACACGGGTATTTTTCTCAAAAATCCTTAGCGATTGGATGGGCAGAGGAAATGGATATGTGAATAAATATAACTTAAAGTAGAAAATGATATGTGCTACAAAAGGTAAAAGTAAATTAGTATCATATTTCTCAGATAAAAATGTTATCTTTTTATAGGGTGTGAACACAGTTTTCATATGTGAAGTTTACTATGACTTTCAAATAACTATTATCTGGATTTAAGGTGATTCGGAAGAAAATATACTGGAGACTAAATAATGAGAGCAATTGCCTTGTTTAACTGGACAGATCATGATTCAAGTATCCCTTCTCAATTTTACTAGCTGTGTAAACTCACATCAATTATTTTCCATTCTCATTGGCAAAATGGAAATACAATTGCATTTTTATTAACAGTTGTGTTGAAGAAAATGAGAAAATACATATAAAATTCCTGGTACAATGACTACTGCTACTACTACTACTACTACTACATTTTTTTAAATTATAGGGTTTAGCAAATGCTATAGTTGCATCAATGTTTGAGAATACCTTGATGAAATATAGAATAACTAGTATCGTTTTTCTTTTTATCTCAGTTGGTGTATCCCTATCTAATGTGGAAGTTAGAACAATAAGTTTGATATTGTTGTTAAAATATGTGACATTTCACCTCCAACAAGTATAATTAATGATAATTAATACATATGACTAGCACTGTATAGTGCTATATATTTTACATGTATTGTCTGAATTAATCATTATAATAACTATCAGGTAAATACCAGTGTATCCCCATTTTACAGTTGAGGATAAAACAGTGAGTGAGTTCATGCTTCCGGATCTGCTGAATGAATAATAGTCTTAAAAACAAGGAGTATAAAATTTACCTCATCTTATGACACAGAAGGAAATTGCTAGGAAGATACAGAATTAGAATTAGTAGGTATCATGTAGATTTATTACTCCCACCACTTGAAAGAGCATTATGCCAGATATGTGCTGTTATTTCTATGCACCACTGTTTCTAGAACTGTTCCTAGCACTATGGGGGATGCAGCAAATAAGTTTGCCTCGATCTAGTTAGGAAGTCATATATTTACATGAGTTACTATACATAAGCCATAATGGAGATATAGACAAAGTACTAAGTGAGAGAAAGTACGGGAAATCTGAATTTTGCTCAGTGTTCATCATGGAAGCCTGAATGAAGAAGGATCATATTTAAGCCGGACTTTGGATAACTGGGGCTTTGTGAAGAAGATCCTACTTAGAGGGAATAAAAGGACCAAAAGTATGAAATATTAATGAGATGGTTACTATATGGCTGTACTTGCAAATAGAAAAGATGGTGGAGACTTTTGGAGACCTTGCTAAATCTTGCCTCTTCTACAGGCCATCATGATCGAAGAAAAGGACTTTTCTGCTTCTTGATGACTGTGACACCCTAAATGTAAGTTTTCTTTATATTACATAATGGTGACTCTGGTGGAGTTATGAATGATGAGAAGAAAAGATTGTGATAAGCATTTCAGACACTATTTCATAAATTAAGATGAGAGATGATGAGCTACTGGTCTGGGAAAATGGCTAGGGAATGAAAAAGATGTGATGGAGTCAACAGAATTTGATAAAACAACTAAATTTAAGGAGGAATGGAGCATTAGATTCTATAGTGACAGTGGAAATTTTAAAACCGTATAACTTGGAGGAAAATGGTGAAATAAGGAATATGTGACAAGGAGTGAGTTGGATAAAGTTGGGTGAGGATAGCAATAATGACAGGGTAATATTTATTCTATTAGATATATGTCTTTAAAGATTATATAAAGCATTAAAATTTTTTAAAAACAAAGTGTTATATAAAGCATACTTATGCATTCTTATCTGTATAAATCAGGAAAGATAAATGCAAGCAATTGTAAAATAGGGTAGATGGTCTTGAATAAAATAAGAATTATTCTAAGATCAAGAAAGAGTGATCAATATTAGTGAACATATAAAAGCTAGGTAAAAAGAGTGTCAACACCATATTGATAAGCAATATATTAGCCAGAGGTCACAACTGGACCCTGCTTACTGAGAAATAAAACTCTTAATTATAAGATGTGGAGGCATAGTAAAATAAATAGTAAACTGGTGGGAGACATTTGATATCAAGGACTTGATGAAAATAGAAGGCAAAGAAGGGTAGTAGGCAATGAGTTGAAAGCCAGAGACTCTGTTTTATTTAAATTAAGCTCCCTAGAATATTTTCGAGTCCAGGCTAGTGACTCACCTGGTGATGGAGTGACTTGGAGTATAAGGATTCAAGATGGAGTAAAATAGGGGCAGCTGGGTGGCTTAGTCGGTTGAGCGTCCGACTTTTGCTTAGGTCATGATTTCGCGGTTGGTGGGTTCGAGCCCCGCGTGGGGCTCTGTGCTGACTGCCAGCTCAGAGTCTGGAGCCTTTTTCAGAGTCTGTGACTCCCTCTCTCTCTGACCCTCCCCTGCTCACACTGTCTCTCTCTCTCTCTCCTAGAAATAAATTAAAAAACATAAAAAAAAAAAAAGATGGAGTAAAATAAAAGCAGCTCCTGACTTATTTTCCAACAGTTGTTAAGAAGATGGCTGGCTGCCTATGAGGCAACTACCAGAAAATAACCAGTCCAGAATTAATTAATCATGAATAATGTTAATGATATGCTGATGGCAGGTGCCTGGCATAGTTTTTTGTGCATTAAAGCCATCATATTATGTAGTCGTTACAAAAACCTTATTGATCAGTGTACTAATGGAACAGCCATGCAATTACACTCATCATATTCTCAACCAGTATAGGAGAACATGAAATTCAGAAAATAAAAACGTGGAAATGAAAGTTTGAGATTTCACAATTCTTGACACAGAGTTTATAGACGGAGTCGTAATGTTAACCAAAGGAGATAACAGTGAGGAAAAAAATTGGTCTGGAGGCAGAGCTTTGAGACATCTTTAATTTTTCTGAAGCTTTTGGGAAACACTGTAGGCAACAAATAGATTTTTACCTTTTAATGTAAGTGGCCTGTTAGGATGAAAATTTCAGAGTTGTTCATCCACTATTGATAAAAAAAAATTGAATTATATAAACATTAACTTTATCTTTTTTATTTAACTTTCTTTTTTTAATGTTTATTTATTTTTGAGAGAGAGAAAGTGGGGTAGGGGAGAGAGAGAATCCGAAGCAGATTCCACTAGGTCAGCACAGAGCCTGACATGGGACTCAAACCGATGAATCATGAGATCATGACCTCAGCCCAAATCAAGAATCAGACACTTAACTGAATGAGCCACCCAGGCACCCCTCATTCTGAAGTTCTTGATGAGATGTTATAACCATACCAACTTCAGCAACTTTCTTGACAACTTTATGCATGACATCAACTTGGTTAGATGATGTGGTCATTGGATGGGGAAACAAGACAGTAAAAAACCACCAGAAAGCTTCAAGGAGGATTGGAGAGGATCAGCATCCCAAAACCAGGGAAGAGTATTTAAAGAAGAAGAAGTGATAATATGTTTCAGATGTTACAAAGCAGCCAAGAAGACTCAGGCTTGAGATGAGATTTTTGAATCTTCAAAGAAAACAACTTCCATAGAGCAGTGCCATATGAAGCCAACGAACAATGGACGGAAAGACAGAATGACCTAGAGAACCACAGGAACTACAGACAATGTGTGCTTACTTGTGACTTTTTATGAACTTTTTATAAAACTTCTTAAGGAGACTGATTCTTATCTATCCTTATAGGAAGAACGGAGACGTTGCTTACAGATCTACAGTTTCTAAGATCAAGACAGAAAAAAAAAAAAAAAAAAAGACTAGGTAACACTAACTCTCCCATCCACATATAATGCTTTGGCATTTGTGTCTGACATCTGACTCAATAAAGAGTTGGCATCATCCTCTTTGGCAAGGAGGAAAAGTTGAAGAAATGATTACTAAGGAGCACTCCATCCCTTCGCATACCTCAAAATATCTTCTCTACTCTCATTTAGCATCCTAAAAGGGAATGCCTATCTATTTACTTAACATTCATGTCTTTTTCATGGGTGGTGCTAATAGAAGAGGAGGTTAAAGACAACAGAAACACAAAATGTTAACACTCCACAAAATAAAAGAATATTTAGAAGGGCTAGAAAGAGTTTCTAAGTTCAGGAAAGGATACAATATTCTAACATTGTACTGAAGCTAGGCAGGCATTAACATCCCCACTGTTACCATATAATTAAATACAAGATGACTAGGGGACAGTCTGAGGTGAGCAGGCATATATTCCACTTGGCTGACTTTCCAGCTGAGCAAATGTTTCTCTTGGATTGAACACAGACCTTCATTTATTTTCATTGTGAATCATTTTCCTGGAAGTCACTGTTGCATAAATGGTGACTCCTGATTAATTCAGACAACCAGAATCAGTAAGTGTGCAAATGAGCTCAACAATCAAGTTTCTTTTCCAAGATATTTTTTTTATCAATTTTCTCATTCTGGACTGTGAAATGGTCTTTCTGTGAGGATCCCCAGGCAGTAGTCATGGAATTAATCCTGATAATGCTTCAGGACTGTGTTCATTGCTCACATAACAATATTCTAGACCTCGCTAGACTCTGGTGGGAAGCCCTCATCCACCCTGATATTTGACAGCTTGTGTTTTCTCTCTACTCTTCCCACCCAATGGCAGAACTTGGAGAGATGCCAAAGAACTTCTGGAGATATGCAGAAAATAATTTAAAAATAGATACAAAAACTTGGGGACCAGATGGAGATATTTGTATAACCAAAAAAAGTATTTTATTATGAAAGTTTTAATTAAAATGCCATTTCCTATAAAAATATGGTGGAGGGGAAACAAAAAAAAAGCTAAAATGTTGACTGTTCATCTCTGGAATATATTATTCGAGGCAACTGCTATTTTCCCTTTTTCTAAGCATTGGTAATATTTGGAATTTCCACAACTATCAAGAACTTGACTATCATTTTGTTAAAAAGCATTTTAAAAACCAACTTTATGTAGGAAGTTATAAACATAAGCAGATTAGTATAGTCACAGATTATACGAATACTAATCACGGACTGCTACTATACTAATCACTGGATGATCATTTCGATCATGGAATGTTGGGTCTGAAAGAAGCAATCTTATTATTGTACAGATGAAACAAATGAGTGAAGGGACAGGGGAAATGTCTTGTCCATTGGCAAATATTAACCTTAAGCTTAGAAATATCGCTATTCTGACTGAGTTCAAACCTGAGTTACATTGTAAGAGCCAAATACTGACCTGGAATCAGTCTATGGCCTGAGAATCACTTAAATATTTACCAGTATCTGAAACATAATTGGTGGCCCATGTCTATGATATAGTCGGTGATGGACAGATGAATGAATGGTAATAAAAGTTGTTTAAAGACAAGTTCATTATAGCATAGCATAGCATAGCATAGCATAGCATAGTATAATATAGTATAGTATAGTGTAGTGTAGCATAGTACATTATATTATAGTAAACTGGTGAGGAGGGACATCAGTTTGTAAACTGAGGACCATGTGCTTTCTTTTCTCTGCTGCCTGGGATACATTATGTTAGCTCAAAATGGTAAAAATTAAAAAAAAAAAAATAGAAAAAGGAAAAATAATCACCAGTCATAAATAAAAGAGACTGCTACCCAGTTAGTAATTGTGTCAAACAAATAAAGCTGTCCAGTTGTAGTCTAGCCTCATTTGACCTATTTAGAAAAAAATATTAAAAAAGAAAAAAGAAAAAGCAAAATGAAGGAATATATTATCCTAACAGAGACAGTTCTAGCTCTGAATCTACATCTAATTCTGTTTTTAACAAGTATCCAACATAAATTCTCTCTCTCAGCATATTGGAGGGTGAAAACACATGCTAATACCAATAAATTGGATTTGTGTTTGGGAAATTTATGCATGCATATATAATGAAAATATTTGCATATAACCCCAGATGGAGGAGCCAACAGAGCATGAACTTGGTCGCCAGGATAACAATGTATACATTACACTGGGAGATGAAATTTGTGTATAAAGCAATTCAATGGCTGATTATGAGAGTGACACATTCTGGGATGATGTGCCTTAAATTCAGCAGTAAACATGGATATGGGACTCCTGCTGCCTGCCAGCATACGTTTCCACGTGTCTGGTTTATTCCCATGCACAGCTTCTTGGAGCATTCAAGGTATGTTTTATTTACTGATTATCCATCAATTTTAAATGAATAAAAGCCCCACAAGGTATTTATAGAGTATAGGTTTAAGCACCCTGTGGACTCTGTGGCATGAATGCTAATGCCAGGAGCAAAATGCAAAAATTGTTAAGAACCAGCAGGCTAAGTCAAGGTTCTAAATATATGCTAGGTTCTGGCTATGTAACCTTGGCAATTGATTGATTGATTGACTGATTGATATCAC